GGCTTATCCCTAAACAAATTTTAAACTCTAGAATTACTCAATTTTACTTGAAAATAGAGATAGGCTTCCATTTTAAATCCTAAAGTGACTTCAAAACCCACCTGTTTGGTAGTTCTAAGTGTATATACTAGGGATCATAGTTACATTTAAGAATCTGGGTGACTAAATGGCAAACAAACTGGGATTCATAGTTCTCAGGTAAAAAAAAAATTGTTTTTTCTAGTCTGGGGCTTGAATTGAGGGCCTGAGCACTATCCCTCAACCTCTTTGTGCTCAAGGGTAGTTCTCTATCACTTGAGCCACAGTGCCACTTCTGACTTTTTCTCAGTGGTTTATTGGAGATAATAGTCTCACAGACTTTTCTGCCTGTGCTGGCTCAGATCTCAGCCTCCTGACTAGCTAGTCATGAACCACCACTATTTGGCTTCAAATCATTTCTTCAAAGATGAAAATGTCATAGCTTACTAATAGCATTTGCAACACTGAGGTCATTTGTCTTACTTAAGTCAAAGTAACAAAACAATTTATCAGGAGGGAAAAGTAGTGGGAAGGTTTATTGAGGGGAGGAGGCGCACTCAGAATATTTCTAATATAGCTGTCTTATAGAGAAAATATAAACCTCCACCGAGCTGCAGTTTAAAAAAGAAAAAGTTGTTTACTGAGATATCAATTGAGCCTCTAAGAAAGGCCATGGGCTTCAGAATCAGACCTAATAAAACCTCATATTTAATTAGAATTCTGAATCTCTGAGCCTCTTCTTAGACAGGCACTCTACCACTTGAATCACACTCCACACCTCTTTCCTGATTTTTATTTTTCTGGAGAGTGTAAGTGAAGTAGTGTTTGTTCCTATGTATAGTAGAATATAAAATCCTGTAAAGCCACCTAGGTTATTAGATGAATATCACAGATCTGCTTATAATCTATTATGGCTTAATGTAGATTATAGATGTGACCAAATGGTAGTTTGCAGAGCCAGAGCTGTAATTAAAATACTGTTGTGCTTCTCTATGATCTCTCTCTAGATTTCTTTTGTTTTTTTTTTTTTTGGTAGTGAAAGTGACAAAAATTTTATGAAAGGAATATATGTTCAGTTGACAGATCATCTCTAGAGTGTGCCTCTTGAGATTTCTGTTGCAAACTAGAGGGAAACTAAATGGTTCCAAACCCAAACAGAAATTTCTTCACTTTTCCAATTACAAACTCTTTTTTATTTTATTTTATTTTTGTCAGTAGTGGGGCTTGAACTCTGGGCCTGGGCACTGTCCCTCTGCTCTTTAGCTCGAGGCTAGTGCTCTACCACTTGAGCCACAGCGCCACTTCCTGCTTTTTCTGTTTATGTGGTGCTGAAGAATCGAACCCAGGGCCTTATGCATGCGAGGCAAGCACTCTACCACCGAGCCACCTTTCCAGCCCCACAAAACTCTCTTTACTAAGTAAATAATGAAATAAAGTCATCCTCATGCAAAAGAAATCCTTAGCTCTTTTTGGTAGTATTGTTCATGTATATATATATATGATATATATCATATATATATATATAAGTTCCTCATGTGTTAGTAAATTAGGTTATTCTTAGCAGCCAGTGATTCTTCAGATATTTTGTTTAAAATACATATTGCTCAAAGGCAATAGTGGCGTTTGCAATTTATATTTGTATGTTGTATTCTATATTGAAGGGCTTGGCTTTATCTAGAACATATTAGCAGGAAAGGAAGCCACTTTCAGAGAAGAGCCTACCTTGTTGGCTAGTGGGGTGAGGAGAGAGACTGAGGGAGATATCTCTCTGGGGACTTGCCCTTTGTGTCTGGAATTGCTGTCACAGTTATTGGAACAGATTGGCAACAGTACATGTGCAAGCATGCAATCAGCAACTTCACAGGAGAGAAGGCTTAGGTCAATTTCTTTGTACAAGAAAGAGGTCCTTGCAGGAATTTATCTTGCTAGTGGAAAAAAGTGCAGAGAAAGGAACAAACCTAAGTGAAAGAAAGGCACATACTAGATGGGTGCCCTGGCTCACACCTGTCATCCTAGCTACCCAAGAGGCTGAGACCTGGAACATCACAGTTCAAGGCCAGCTAAGGCAGAAAAGTCCCTAAGATTCTGTCTCCAGTTAACTGGCAAAATGGTGGACAAGAGGTTTGGCTCAAGCTCAGCAAGAGTGCCAGTTTAAGTTCTGGTACCAAAAGGAAAAAGACACACAGACACACACAGACACACACACAGATACACACAGATACACACAGACACACACACACACATACAGACACACACACACACAGACACACACACACACAGACACACACACACACAGCTTCCAGGGCAGCCAGGAGTAGAGATGATCTGTATTGTCTTTATCTAATTTTCCCTTCCTAGTGACTCTCAAGTGTTTTCTTATAATGTTCCTTGTTCCTGAATGAGTTTAAGGATTAGAGCCATATTCAGATACTGCAAAGGAGCATTAGGGAGATTCCAGTTTACATTTTCTCTGTTTATAGCCTTCAGGTTTTTGGTTTTTTTTTTTTTTTTTTGGATATTTCAATCGAGAGAACAGATTCATTTGTCTTTTTCTTTTTTGGTACTGGGGATGGAACCCAGGACGTTGTACTTGCTAGGCAAGCGCTTTGCCACTGAGCTACATCCCAGCCCAGATTCATTACTTTACATGTCACATTTATCCTTAATTCACACTGAAATTTTCATGATCAGTGAAAATACTTAATTTTTATGCTTAATTTTCATCATTTCAAAATGATTTCACATACAGACATTAGTATAACATGAGGTTGTGGGGTGTTTTGAAACAATACTGTCCATGGCAAACGGTGTGTTGGCAGGTGATCAATGTGAACATTCTATGTTGACCTCTCACCATGATCATCATATGATGCAATCTTGCCTTCTAATCCATTTGTCACTTAAGAGTCAAGATGTTCACAGTTGCGAATAGTTTGGCTACTCTCAGGTTCCTATCTAAAGTCTGAGAAATGGGAAGTCTGGGCTGTTGCTATGTAGGTATGTTCAAAGAGTTTCTGAATGCTGTATAGCCTTCAAATTTATATATGAAAAATTTCAAGAGTCACCATATCCTAAGAAGGTTGCCAATTTAAATTATTAATTCCCCCTTTTCAAAAAAAGCAAAGCATGACTTTGGCAGAAGTTTTATATAGTCTCCTACTTCTATTTCATTGTATAAAAAAGGTAGAGTAAGGTGTGTATGTGTGTGTGTGCTTGTACGTGTGTGTGCATGTGTGCATGCATGCGCATAAGCAATAAGGATAATGTTACAGCAACTATTTAGGGACCAGAATTAATCAGAGTCAGTGTATGAGCAGACTGTGGTCTCACATTGTTAATCTGCAATGTTGATTACATTATAGGCCAAAAACTCAGAGCCAACTGCCAAGAATGGAGGCAGTATTCAGAAAACTTCTAGACTAGTTTTTGAGGCTAGGAAGGTACATATATTGGGGAAAGAAAAGTGGTGGATTACCAGTAAAGTGATAGTTATGTAGTAAATTCAGAACCAGAACTCTATTGCAGAACTGTCCAGAAGTTTGGGTTGTGGATATATGTGCAACTCTCTCTGAATGGCTATTGAAGAGCTATATTTATTCTGACTACAAATCTTTCATAAGGAGGAGTCCTAATCCTTGATCATTGTTGTCTATGTTTACTAATTGGTTTCATACTTAATCTTCAAAGAAAATAAGTTTATATATGTATTGAGTGCCACTTTGATACGTGAGAGAGAGATACTACTACCCATTACAACTGTGTATCTTCTGTGTTATCTCTGGTGTTTTAACTGTTTTTATCTGTCTGTATACTGTTAGATTGCTTTGGATTGACTCTTGGGTAGTAATAGCACCTTCTGACATAAATCTGAAGTTAGAGTCCTACTCCAAAATGCAATTGTCATTAACTACCCACTGTTAAAATCTCTGAGGGTCAAAAAATCCCCATCAGATTGCTCCCAGCTCTCTGGTATCTTTTAAGTACATTTCCTTCTAGCTAAAGTTGTATTAAAGCTCCTAAGATTATTAGAAATCATGGCATTGCCAATTCTGAATATTCCTTTGTCTCCACTTGTATTTATATAATACAGTTAATATACTGATCGTTACTGGGTGTTGGTGGCTCATGCCTATAATCCTAGTTACTGAGGAAGCAGAGATCTGAGGATTGTGGTTAAAAGCCAGCCTGAGCAGAAAGTCTGTGAGACACTTATCTCCAATTAACCACGAAAAAGTTGGAGGTGGAGCTTCTAGCTCAGGCCCCAGGACCAGCACCAAAATATATACATATACATACATATATACACATACATATACATATACTACTCGATTGGTAAGAAGCAATAATGGTTACAGAAAAATACCTCAGAAGCTGGGTCTTGTCTTAGTTAGATGCTTTAATATAATCAAAATTGGCCCTGATTCTCTTATACTAGAGAATTTTAATAAGACAAGAAAAAATAGAGCCATATGCCAGCGGCTCATGCCTGTAATCCTAGCTACTCAGGAGGCTGAGATCTGAGGATCTGGTTCAAAGCCAGCTCAGGCAGGAAAGTCCTTGAGGTTCTTATCTCCAATTACAGGAGATCAGAAGTAAAGCTATGGCTCAAAGTGGTAAAGCACTAGCTTTGAGCAAAAGAGCTCAGGGACAGCGCCCTGAGACAAGCCCCACCCCCCAAAAAAAAAATAGAGTCTGGAAGACAAAAGACCAAAACCACTTCTAGCCAAGCAGAGTTTATGAGGAAAAATTCCTAGTAGGAATAGAACTTCTCTTAGCACAGGGTGCTCTCATCTAAACCTCTACATTTGTAGTGGTATCATGAGCTGGAACTTAAAGAGGAGGACATATATCTCTACTGCACTCTGATAGCAAAGGATATAGGACTAGATTAACTATTTTCTAATATATTTAGTATTTTAAATATTTAGATGTCTCCTCTAAATGATCCTATTGCTCAGCTACTACTTTCTCTTCCTCCACAGATGGAGTCCCCTGTCTCCACACCAGCGGTGCTACCCTTGCACCTTTTGGTGCCAGTAGTCAATAATGACATCTCATCTCCCTGTGAGCAGATCATGGTTCGAACCCGATCAGTTGGGGTCAACACATGTGATGTGGCTCTAGCCACAGAGCCTGAGTGCTTGGGCCCCTGTGAACCTGGAACCAGCGTCAACCTCGAAGGCATCGTGTGGCAGGAAACAGAAGATGGTAAGTGGTATACATGCTTTCCCATCCCATCGCAACCTGCTCCAGAAGAAGAGCCAGTAGGGGCTTACTGTTATAACCACTGCCAGATATTTGTATGAAGTCTTAGGTCCACATCTTGCTAGCAGTGCACACACAGAGGATAGCAGCAAACTCCTTAGCAGAATCTCCCTCTCCTAAAGAGTGCCAATGCCAATGTTTTACACCTAGAAGCATGGCCAACTCCTTCCTTCCACTGGTTGCCAGCCACCTACACCACTTCATACATCTGTCACTTGGCACAGACTTTATAAGCCAGGTCAACAGGGAATTGTTTACACGGTCTTGTTTTCAGTCTTCCATTAACTAAACAGTTGACTTGCTGTAGGTTGCTGCTGCCCAACAGATTTCTTCTGTTTGGAAAGTTCATAAAAGTAAACAAATGTAGAATAAAAGTACAAAATGTATTTAACCAAGTAGTTCAGCTTTCTTGGTAACATCTGGTGGCAGCAGGATTCTCCAACATATTCTTTTAATAAAGAGTCCAAGTCTTCATCAAAATCTATGTGGAGGAGCTAGGTCTCATTGCCATCATGTTTCTGTATCAGTAGCCAGATTTTCAAAGCATCCTCACTCTGAGGAGTTTAGAGGCCCAGAAGAGCACAGCTAATTACTATCACAGACCTAACTAGTCAGAAATTCAGACATTTTAGGGCTAGTGGCTCAATACTAAAAGCACCTACCTAGGAAGTGCAAGGCCATGATTTCAAATCCCTGTACTACAAAATGAAAGAAAGAAAAACAGAAAAAAAAATAGAAAAAGTAGGCATTTTATTCTACCAGAATTCTGTTCACTTGAATATTTTGTTGTTCGATATTCCAAGTTCTGTGCAGTGGGTGCTAATGTGTTCTAGATAAAGCATTCTGTATTCTTAGCTATCTCATTATTAGGAATATAGTAAATCTTCAGCTTTCAAGAATATTGCTGATGAGGGGCTGGGAAAGTGGCTCAATGGTAGAGTGCTTGCCTTGCATGCATAAGGCCCTGGGTTGGATTCCTCAGCACCACACAAGCAGAAAAGGCTGGAAGTGGTGCTGTGGCTCAAGTGGTAGAATGCTAGCCTTGAGCTGAAGGACAACACCCAGGCCAGAGTTCAGGCCCCATGGCCAACAAAAAAAAAAGAATGTTGCTGATGAAAGTGGTGCTGTGGCTCAAGTGGTAGAGCTCTTGCCGTGAGCTGAAGAGCTCAGGGACAGTGCCCAGGCCCAGAGTTCAAGCCCCATGACCAACAAAAAATTAATTAATTAATTAATTTAAAAAATATGTTAGTTAAAAAAAATATTGCCGATGAAGTTTACTGTGTGCCTGAGACCATAATGGAAAAAAAAAAGAAAAGAAAAGAGACCATCTATGTACCATTAAGCAACCTTCAGGACCTCCTACCTAAATATATTGAATATATCAATTAATTTCCTCCCTGCCATAGGGATAGGACAAGCTTTTCTTTTCTTTTTACTCTAAACTAAATTTATGATTTAGTTGTCACTATCAACCAATTACCACATTCCTGTCTGTGTGTGTGTGCACATGCATGCATGTATTCGTGTACGCACTAGTACTACAGAGCTTAAAGTCAGGGCCTAGGTGGCTCTTCCTTAGCTTTTTTGCTCAAGGCTAGCACTCTACCACTTGAGCCACAACTCCACTTTCTACTTTTTGCTGATTCATTAGAGATAAGAGTCTCAGGAATTTTCCTGCCCAGGCTGGCTTCAAACCTCAATCCTAATATCTCAACCTCAATCCTAGTATCTCAGCCTTCTGAGTAGCTAAGATTACAGGTGTGTACCACTGGCCCCTGGCTTTAGGTACTCTTAATATATCCTACCCTCTCTTCCCCTCTCCTCTCTCCTTCCATTCCTTTCTTCCTTGTCTTCCTGCCTTCCTGCCTTTGTTTCCTTTTCTCTATTTTCCTTTTTTTTCCTCCATTCTTTGCCCTCCTATTTTCGCCCCTCTACCATGCCCCAGCTTTTCCACTATTTTAGAAAATCTTTTTTTTTTTTTTTTGCCAGATGTGGGGCTTCAACTCTGGGCCTGGCTGTCCCTAAGCTCTTCAACCGAGGCTAATGCTCTACTGCTTAAGCCACAGCACCACTTCCGGTTTTCTGAGTGGTTTATTGGAGATTAGTCTCACAGACTTTCCTACACAGGCCAGCTTTGAACTGGGATCCTCAGATCTTAGTCTCCTGAGTAGCTAGGATTACAGGCGTGAGCTACCAGCACCCAGCTAGAAAATCTTATGAGCTCAGTGACTTGTTGTTTTTGTGTTGTGCCAGTATTAGGACTGAGGAACCTGGTCTCTGTCTCTTAGCTGTTTTTTTGTTTTGTTTTGTTTTGTTTGATGCTGGTCTCGGGGCTTAAACTGATGGCCTGGGTGCTGGCCCTGAGCCACTTTTTCTCAAGGCTAGCACTCTACCACTGGAACCACAGCTCCACTTTGGCTTTTTTGGTAGTTTATTAGAGATAAGAGTCTCACAGGCTTTGCTGCCCAGATTGGCTTCAAACCATGATCCTCAGATCTCAGCCTCCTGAGTAGCTACCATTACAGAGATGAGCCATTGGTGCCTAACTGTCCCTTTTCATTCAAGGCTGTCACTCTACCACTTCCTGCCCTTTTTTTGACAGGGAGCGAAGGGTGGGGTAGGTAATTGGAGATAAGAGTCTCCTGAACTTTTCTTCTTGGGCTGGCTTTTGAGTCATGATCTCCAGATTTGAGCCTCCTGAGTAGCTAGAATTACAGGCATGGGCCATTGGCATCTAGTTAGAGTCCCTGTTTTGTCACCAACACTTAGCACCTGTAATATGCTTTCAAAAATATTTGACTCAAAAAAGAAAATGAAAACTAAATTGGGCATGGCACACACCTGGAATTCTGGCACTTGGGCAGGAAAATGGGAAAGCTCGAGGCCAAGCTAGACTATAAAATGAACTCCAGCCAGGTGCCAGTGGCTCACGCCTGAAATCCTAGCTATTCAAGAGGCTGAGATCTGAGGATCACAATTCCAAGCCAGCCTGAGCAGGAAAGTCCGTGAGACTCTTATCTCCAATAAACCACTAGAAAACAGGAAGTGGTGCTGTGGCTCCAGTGGTAGAGTGCTAGTCTTGAGCTGAAGAGCTGAGGGACAACCCCCAAGCCCAGAGTTCAAGCCCCACGACCAACAACAACAACAAAATGAACTCCAGGCCACCATGGGCTTTGTAGATCCTGTCTCAAAAAGAATTATTTTTTGGGTGAATAAATGAGTGCATCCATATCACTGTTATTTCTGGATCGATGCTAAAATATTTAGCAGATATTATAATGCTTCAATTTAGTAATCATGTCAAAATAATTTCTGAACTTCTCTCACATTCAGAATAAATCCCGTAAGTTTAAGACTGGTTTTATTTTTCTAAGTCTATAAGATTTGTAGGGGTTTTGTTGTTTTTTGTCCGTTGTAGGGCTGGAACTCAGGGCCTGGGCACTGTCCTTGAGCTCTTCTGCTTAAGGCTAGCAAGGCTAATGCTCTACCACTTTGAGCTACAGCACCACTTTCAGTTTTCTGGTGGTTAATTGGAGATCAGAGTCTCATGGCCTTTCCTGTATGGACTGGCTTTGAACCTCAAATCTCAGCCTCCTGAGTAGCTAGGATTACAGACATGAGCCACCATCACCTAGCTTTTTTTTTCCTTGTCAGTCATAGGGCTTGTACTCTGAGCCTGCTCACTGTACCCTGAGCTCTTTTGCTCAAGGCTAGTGTTCTACCACTTTGAGCCACAGTGCCACTTCTGGTTTCCTGGTGGTTCATTGGCAATAAGAGTCTCACAGCCTTTCCTGCCCAGGCTGGCATCGAACCTCAGTCCTCAAATCTCATCCTCCTCAGTAGCTAGGATTGCAGGCGTAAGCTACTGGTGCCAAGACTTCTATTTTCGTTTTGTTTTGGTTTGGTTTTTTTTTTTTTTTTTGGTTGCAGGGCTTGAACTCTGGGCCTGGGCGCTGTCCCTCAGCTCTTCAGCTCAAGGCTAGTGCTCTAGCACTTGAGCCACAGCACCACTTCCAGTTTTCTAGTGGTTTATTGGATATAAGAGTCTCACAGAGTTTCCTGCCTAGGGCTGGCTTTGAACCACGATCCTCAGATCTCAGCCTCCTGAGGAGCTAGGATTACAGGCGTGAGCCACCGGCGTCCGGCTTGTAGTTCTATTTTTAATACTACATTTTCTCCCACTTACGGTATTGTATTTCAAGGTTTAGTTCTTCACTCTTTTTTCTTCTCATCACAAGGGTAAAAGAACTGTTCTGCAATGATATACTCTACTTCCCTTTGCTTTCTGGCCATCCCAGAGAGTCTTACCTCAATTTTCAGTTGGCAAAGGTCTGATTGAGATCATGGTTGGTTCACTTTCCTTTTCAAGTCAGAGAAGAATTCCTGTAAAAATGATTCCCTAAAGATTATAAGATCTAGAGAGTACTAAGTCAGTCCTCAAGTTAATAAGAACAACATAGGATGCTTTGGGGAAAAAAAATTCTAGGCCTTTGTGCTCTGTCTGTATCTGACTTTTTTTTTTTTCTTTTTTGAGTTCCTTTTTATTTTTTTTTCTTTTATTTTTGGGCCAGAAAACTACTATCTTCAAATAGAACAGTTCTTCCAGCTTAGAAAGAAGCTGTGAAGACTTGGTCTATGGGTAGAATGGAGGGTGCTAAGGCCCCTGTAGAAATGAATCACCTTGTAAGAATAGTATTATAGGGGTCATAGTGGCAGTGATTCTTGGTTTCTTTGCCTTTCATTTCTACAGTATTTCTTTCCTCTCCTCTTCCTAGCACTCATGTTAGACTTTACCCTAGAGACATTTTGATTTTTTTTTTTTTTGTTCTTTGTCAGTCTTGGAGCTTGAACTCGGCCTGGGCACTGTCCTTGAGCTCTTCAGCCCAAGGCTAGTGCTCTACCATTTGAACCACAGCACCACTTCTGGTTTTTGGGTGGTTAAT